AACACTTTCTAATGTACATATTAAAAGACTTACAAAAAACCAGAACCAAACATCATAATTACTCTAAGTTGTCTATGTTAAATCAAAAACCAGATAAAAATCCCCCAGCCTTTATGGAAAGGCTGAGAAAAGCTTTAATAAAACACAGCTCCCTGTCTACAATTTCAGTGAAGAACAGATTTATTACTCAAACAACCCCTCATATCATAAAGAAGTTACAGAAACAGGCCCTGTCGAAAAATCTCTCTGATCTTTCTCACCCTCAAGTTAAAACTTTATAGTATATAAATTACACTCTTCTCTGTGCCCTAACCAAAGATGTCTCAAGAAAACACTGAAACTCTTTTTCATTTCTTAACTGAAAGAGAATATAGGGTTTCAAAATCTAAAATTCAACTCTGTCAAACTTCAGTAAAATACCGAGGTCTAGTCTTATCAGAATGGACCAGAACACCAGGTGAGAAAAAAATTAAGCCCATTTCCTCCTGTCCCTTTCCAAAAACTCTTAAACATTTCAGGGGATTCTTAGACATTACTGGATTTTACAAACTATGGGTATGTGGGTATGGTGAAATAACTCACCCTTTATACTACCTCATAAAAAAATAAACCTTCAGACATCTAAAACTCACTCCCTAAAACTCAGAAAACCTTAACCAGTTAAAAAAGCCTTACTTAAAACATCAGCCCTCAGTCTTCCAATAGAGAAGATATTTAATCTCTATATATCAGAAAAGAAAGTTTTAACTAAAACCAAAATCCAGCTCAACAACCAGTAGACTATTTAAACAACAAACTTGACTTGATGACTAAAAGATGGCCAACCTGCCTCCAAACAGTTACAACGGTGACTTTACTGGTGCCAGAAGCCACCAACTTAAGAAGAATAACTTACACCACACACAATATAACAGGACTTTAAAAGAAGTCTCTCTAACAATCACCTTCTCAAATATCAAACTATATTACAAGAAGAAAGCCACAGTCCAATTGAAAACTTGCCCTTGCCTAAACTGAGCCACTTTCTCCCAGAAGAAACTAGAGAACTTGAACATAATTATGAACAGGTAATTGTACAAACTGATAGAAGAAATGATAAGAATTACTGTTTATATTATCTGTAAAGTTTTAATTAATAAGATATATTTCAAAAAACACTCAATTAAAAGTGGATATCCAAACTATAGATATATTCAAAAGGCCTTTATGTTTTTTCTTCATAAATCTTGTTTTTCTGGAAAAGGTTTTTTTCTCAGTTGACTGAATGACTTTTCTCCACTCTGTCTTGCCACTCTTGGTACATACATGAAAGGCCCTAAGATAACTTCTGATGGCCTAAGGCTCCTTGAGAAAACAGAAAAGGTACCACAGATCCCATTTTGAGAAAAATCTCTATTTTCCTCGTAGAAACCCTAGAATTAGAGACAGACAGATCCCTCTCAAAATCCGTTTTTGCCTTCCAACTATGCCCAGAAGCTACATACTCTCCTAGCCCTACTCTTAAAAGACTCCACCCTGAGTTCTGTCCTTTGAGCAGAATGACAGTGTCCATTTTCAGCTCTGCATAGCAGAAGCTGAAGTTTAACAGTTGTCACAGACCAGTGGACACTATTGGTTTCAGATTAGTGTAAGGGTAAGTGAATCAGGCCCAGGAATTTGGGAAAGTTATGTGAATTGAGGGTTCCATGGAACCAGTGGCTTTGCTTCAGATGGCAGAGTGAGGGATAAGATTTCCCCCTCAGGGATAGCTGTCATTCTGTCATGTAAAGCCATGATGCTGCTGGAGCTAGGCTGGCGGCATTCCTGAATTCACCTTTTCTATTTGAAAAGTGAGGCTTATTGAATTTTTCTTACCTTATTAGTCATTGAGTCTAAGTTGACTCACTCCAAAGTGGAAATATCAGTCAGGATAGTCACAAGGCCTCCTTGAGTCAGGTGTTCAATTTTGACAAGAGCCCAGTAGCAAGCTAATAGCTACTTTTCAAAAGAAGCATGCGAGGTAGCTTTATCAGGGGAACAGTGAGTTCAAATCTCCAAGAGGTAAGAGGTTGCCTCCCTTTCCCAGATGGTCAGATTGGAAAAATAATCAGTCACAGAGACTTGTAGCTTTATTGGGAGCACGTCTGCCAGGAGCTCTCGACCTGCAAGAGGGTTCCAACTTGGATAGCGGGGTGCGCGGAAGACAAAGAATGACAGACAGATGGGGTCTGGAGGGTTGAAAAGCATATGCTTTACCAACAACTTTATTCGTGCTCAGGGTCAGTATATATATCTTTTTTAGGTATGTGTCTACGTGAGACAAAGGGGTACAGAAAGTTTTAAAGTAGAAAAACCAACATCATAGGGTAAGAAGAATGGAAAGGTCAGATACACAATTAACCAGAACAGGTAGTCACACTATCTCATCTAGGGGCAAGTCATTTAATTAACCAGAACAGGTGGTCACACTATCTCATCTAAGGGTAAGTCATTTATCTTCT